CAACAGGCAGCAGCCCGCCAGCAAAGCAGAAATTTTGCCCATGCAAAATGGACACCTATCCCAAACACACCCTGCCACCAACCTCTGGCAATGCACACGCAGCCTGTCACACCAGTAACGTTACAGAAATTGAAATGAGTGGGACAAAAAAAAAAAAAAGAAAAAAAGAAAAAAAAAAAGCCAATCTAGGCCCACACTGCTAGAGCCCTCTGCTGACCTCCAGCTGGAATAACGCTGGAGGTCACAACCCGTGGGTACCCTGCAAGAACTTCGTCAGAACATGCCATGCAGCAAGTGGTCTGCTCTGCTATGAAGGTATGGGGAAAAAGCAGTCAGGATGGGATCACCTCGGCCTAAAGGCTCTACAGTCCACAGCTCTTTTACCCCACTTCAGAACTGAGGACTGTGGACAGAAAGCCAACCTCCTGCAACGCACAGGGCTCCACCAGACAGGGCACTTGCAGGAGGCATCTCTGACTAACCTGGGGGCTGACTGCTCTCTGGTCTACGTTTACGTGCACAAACCAACGAGGCAGAGGACATTGCCACAGCCTGGCCTTTGGGCAGCTGGAGCAACAGAAAATCACAACAGCTGCAGAGGCACCACCTCGTTTCCCCACCAGGCAATGGTCCCATCCGTACCGGACCACCAGCAATGAATGAAGTAGAACCTTAGAGATCACACTGCTGTCCCCTGAATCTGCTAAGCCTGATAGCTCAAACCGCAATAAAAGGGTGTAGTTTTGGGGCAAGGGTCCGTACAGCGCTTAGCAAATATGCTGACTGGGGGGGGTACCAGGCACTGTCGGGAGGCACACCTCCATAAAATCAGCCCAGGTCGCCTTTTTTTTTCCTTCTCTCCCGCCCGAAACCTGCTGCCTGGCCCTCTGGGGAGGGTCGGGGTGCTGCTTCAGCCTTTGTTCCAGGATGAGCCCTGGCCACCCAGCTGGGCACAGCCAGCACCAGTGGGGAAGAGGCAGGCAGCAAAGATGACAAATCCCTTCCTACGGCACTGTGGCGAATCCCTAGCGAACTGTTCGCTGCTACTCAGCTCTTTGTGTGCGCGTGTCTGTATGAATATATATATATATATATATAAATGAG